GGGCAACTTTATTGCTCGCCACAAAATTTCCGAAGACGATCAAAATGAGAGGGTTTGTGAGACATCTTTTTTCAATGACGAACCGTTGTATTGGATTGAGAATGTGGCGATTGAAGTGCGCAAAATGCCACATGGGGGTGTGTCCACAGCACTCGCAACAATCCCAGTTCGGCCCAAACCTATAGTTCAATGACTTGCACTCGCAGCCCTTCATCCTATGTCAGCGCGTTGAGTAAAATAAATCGTTAATAAGAGCACACATGTAAGAGACTGGAAGATCGGGGCCAAAAGCATACTCGTCGAAATGCATCGCATCCGCCATGACTCACCTGCAAAAGTAAAAGGCATGCGGGTCCATGCGCAGGAAGCGCACTAGAGAATAAAGCTCCCCAACACGGTTCTGAAGAGGGGTTCCAGTCAAGCACCATTTGTTGAGGGAGGTGAGCGCAAATACTGCCTTGGCTGTGCTCGTCGAGCGTGTCTTGATGTAATGCGCTTCGTCGAGAATGATACGGAACCAAGACAACTGGGGTTGGAAGAAAGGGTAAATAAACAAAATCATAGTACAAGTGTGATGATTGGAAGGTACTGAAGATACCTCGAAAACCTATCAAATGTCAAAGCATGGCAGCTCGTCACTGCTCAACGGGTGGTCCTCTCAAACATTCCACCCCTCTGACGGAAGCAGGTTTTGCGCCTTAAACATCTTCTAGACGCACAAAGCCTGTCTCTGCGTACCTCATGGATCACCGAGCGCGTTGCTTTACCCCGTGGTTTTACGTCTTCATCTTCTGAGCTGTCCGAGGAGGTCTCATCACTTTCCTCCTCGACTGAACTGTCGTCCTGGACTCTGCCACCTCGCTCTGAAGATGCGGGAGCACTCTTCCCACCGCGACGACCTAAATGATGTAGATCATTAGAAAATGGGGTTTTCACTTATGCTTCGTCGACTACTACGCACCAGGCTTACTGTGAACCACGCATTAATGATCCCGTCCTGGGGCTGAGCATCACTCCGATTTCTCCACCGCCCAATTGTCGCATCTACACACTTTTTACGACACACCCCAACCCCCAAACCAACAAGCTATACCCTTATCCTTACACCGGAGTCGTTTCCTGTTCCTCTTTCCCAAAACTCACCTCCACGCGCCCCCTGTCGGCCGCGACCACGTGTAGCTCCACCAGCTCCACGAGATGAGCCAGCACCCGCTTTCCCTCCCTTTCCCCGACCCTCAAGCTCCTCCATTTTACGTTTGTTCGCGGCCTTGATGCGCGCATATTTTTCATCCTCCTCACTGCTGCTGCTGCTTTCATTTTCGCTGTCCTCGGAAGGAGCCTCAAAGGCCTTCTTGTCATTTTCCCCAACAGTTTGGCCCGTCACTTTCCTCCTAGAGTGAGAAGCTTTCGAACTTTCTTGAGGAACTTTTTTGCCTCCAATGCTATGCTTACCACCCATAGCCTCAGCCATGAGCTTCTTGTTTTTGGCCTTGATCAAAGCGTATTTATCCTCCTTGATGTCTTTGCCGCTGCTACTCGCCGCTCCACTTCGAGTGTCTCTCCCTGTCCGTCCTTCCTGAGCTTTTGACTTGGTCGACTTTACCCTCTTACTTAAACGTCCGTCTTTGCTTGTACGGGCCACGGCACCAAGCTTCACGTCGTCAACAGTACTGTCCCCGCCATCCGATTCCGTCTCGTCATCGTCCTGGGCGTGTCGGGCCCGCAAACTCTTCTTGGAGAGCCGACCCACCTAGAGCGCGACAATTTTATAATCAAATTAGCATACGCACACAGAGTCCTGCACATCATCCAGATACGTGCTGCAAAATCATGTTCCTCGTCTTTTTCCAGTTACATCTCAAAACACGTGCTACCACTCAGCCTGACCTTGACGCTCCGACCCTTTCGTTGAGTGCGAGCCTGCGCGGCGGTCAGTACCGCCCCTTCTCCACAGAAATATCTCTTGTGCAGCCGCAGCTTATCGGGATAGAAGCGCTTCCCACAATCCTCACATTTCACCTATTGATATTGAAGCGTTGAGAAGGAAAAACATGATGTCTAAATTTATATTTTAACTTTCCCGCGTTCTCCTTGTTCCGATAGCAAAAGCAGACCCTACCTTTTCAGGAGACATCATTTTGCGATACTCCGCCTCCACTATACTGTATGTGGTCAAAACCACATCTGCCTGTTGCAGCAGCGCCTTGGCGTCCTCCCGGCTCGATCCGTGGTAGACAAGGACGGTCAAGCTCCCTTCCCGGGTGAAGCGGGCGATCTCCGTTTGCCACTGCAGCAAGGCAATCAACGGGCATACCACAAGGGTGCCAGCACGCATGCAAGGGTCGGGCGCCCGCCCATGGGATGCTTCTTGCCTCGTCCAGGCCTCGGAGTGAAGCTCTGAGGGTCGGTTCGCGAGCATGACGGCGATGGCCTGAATGGTCTTGCCCATACCCATCTCGTCCGCGAGGATCCCTCCGTGGTGCTCGACCTGCTCCTGCCGGTACATCCACCCCAGGCCTTCCTTCTGGTATGGAAGGATGGGGAGGACCAGCGTCTCGGGGGGCTCGCGTTGCGTCGTCCACTCTTTGCGCACCAGCTCGGAGGCATCGATGGGCTTAGAATCCTCGTCCTCCTCCTCCCGCGACTCGGCCACGCGCTTCTTGACCAAGGCCTGCTGCCCCTCAGTCAAGTATTCATACCCCTCGATGCTCTCCTCCGACTCCAGGTACTCGGCAAAGATGGTGCAGGGCAAATGCTGCCAACGGGTAACGATGCCAAAGCGGCCCGCGTTCATTTCAAGTCCGATACGGATCTGAGGATATATCCAGAAACATTAAGTTATTCAGGGAATGACGTAATTGTTAGACTTCACACGCACGCGATATTTGCCGACAGCAGACGATCAATCACACGACACGTCGTGCACACCCACCGTCGCGGCCCTGGACAGAACTCACCTCCTCTTTCGGGACCTTGGCATTGCACTTCTTGCACGTTGCCTGTTATATTGACACGTAAGGGTCGGGCGTGAGAAGAACATGGGGGACCAAACCCGCACGCACACATCACCACCGACCTTGCCGTTCGACTCTTCCACTTTGTACGCGATTCTCTGCCCCGGTGGGGGAAGACCTTTGGGCGTCCCGGTATCCCCACCGTTTCCTCCGCTGCGCCCACGCCCCTGGCCCCGGCCCCGGCCCCGACCCCGTCCATTTTCTTGCTTGGTGGAAGCTGTAGGTCCACTCGTGCTTCGCGGTCCGTCCTTGGGAGACTTGCCAATGCGCGAGTCGACCCCGCTATCGTCCGACTCCTCCGCAGACGAGGACGATTCTTCTGTGACGGTGACCGAGTCATCGTCTCGCTCCGGGACGAAATCACTGTCGTCTTCATCTGATATAGATTTACGCTTTTTGCTGGCTGAGACGGTGCCTGTATCGGCAAGTACAGGCAGTCGTATTAATAGTACACACACGTTAAAAACATGGCCTGCATCTAAACTAGAAGCGAGTCTGGGAATTCTCGATGGCACAGAGTATTTTGGGATTAAAATCATCCTCTCACATAGAGAAGCTGTACAACTGCCGTTGTGATTCCATGGTCTCCTGCTTTGAAGGGTGGGAACTTCTGCCTCTTTCTCGACACATAAAAGAAAAGCACACAGCTGATTCTCAAGGACACCAATGACTTGAAATGTGTACAATCGAGTCAGATACCTTTTCTTGCTGTACCCATTTCGGTCAAATCGCAACACGAAGGCGTGCAGCGAAGAAATAGTCCGTTCTACTGACCCTCGGACGTGCGCGAAGCTGGCCTTCTCCCACCGATGAACTGTCGAGAAACAATTAGGGGCGCAATGTGAGGCTTGAGAATTTATGTACGCTACCGAGCGCCAAAGGCAGGATTCCAATGTACATGGGAAGGGCTCGGCCGCAAGGCTTCATCCCCTCCTCTGATTCACTGATGTCTGTCTTGCCTTTTTCCAGCGAGGGGCGGACTCGGAGTATCCTTGAGTGGCGTCATTTTTCGGCGAGTGAGTCGAGTCGAAGCCCAAGGCCGAAGGGTCAAGGACCTTCCGTCTTCAGCCAGAAAACTGGGTCGAGTATAAGATGCCGCGGCCAAACGTAAGAAGAATCGAACAAATAAAAAAATGGAGGAAGTTTTGCCCCGTACGTGTCTGGGTTTGAGGGGAGCACGCTTTATGTGTGGTTTTGGTCGACTTGAATCGACGGTTTATCTATGGGCCACTCCATCATGGGCGACGTCCGAGCAGCGAGAAAGCACAGGGCAGGGCCCATGTACCCTCCTGACTCCAGGCTTACAAAATGGTACACGCATAACATGCAAAAGTACACGAATTTTCGGTACCGAGTAAATTACTCATCGCATATCTCAGCAATGTACACCACGCAGATAAAAAAATACTTCAAGGATCTTGCGTGCACATCTCATTAGCGGATATAAGACTGAACACGCTTTTGCACGCAAGCCATCCTACCTACCCTGTTTTAAGAAAGTTGCGATTTTTGTTTGACAATATCAGTAGAAATGATGCTAAGGCCTCATAAATAACCCTTGTATCTCCGTTCACAGCACAGACGAGGCCATTGAAAGCCTCAAAGCCATCCTGGTGCCCGCGCCCATGGAATCTCCTGTAACACATTCCCATCAGCACATGCGACACTACGGGATGGACACCATTGAAACTATGAATTATGATAGAGCTCATCAAGGAGAGCATTATTTTCATAAAACACACTTTGGAAGCAACCAAAATCACGTACAGAAGGGGGCCATGTCATCATCGGAAATGAGCCCCACCAGGACCGCGTTGCCCGCTGGAGGCATTTCCGGACAGGGCATGAAAACCATTCAGCAAACGCCAACTCATCATCAAGACTCATTTGAGGATGATATATCGAGTAAATTGAATCGGCGAGGATGGTCTACTGAAGAAGATGCATGCATTTTGAAGCTGGTCCGCGCGCACGGGACCAAGAATTGGACTGTTATTGCGCAAGGTCTGGCCGAGAAATTGGGTGGACCAGGCCGTTCTGGGAAGCAATGTCGCACGCGATGGCTCAACCACTTGAATCCTGATATCAAAAAGGCACCCTGGACAGCCCAGGAAGAAGCTATCGTGCAGGATGCGCAACAACGACTGGGAAATCGATGGGCTATCATCGCCAAACTGCTACCCGGAAGAACGGATAACAGCATCAAAAACTACTATTACTCAACTATGAGGAAAAATATGCGCAGACTTGCAAAATCTCATGGTAAAGATGCGCCGGTTGCGAAAGCGTGCGGACCAGCCGGTGCCACGGGCTTGGGGCCGCCTGCGGGGGTTAGAGAAAGCTCAACAAGAACCGGGAAGAAGGGAGCCTCGTCCAGCGTGGCAACCGCCGCTGGAGCCTACGATACTCCAGCAAGCTTACAAGTGCAAGACAAATGTGTGCACGAGAATGGCCAGTCCAAATCGACGAAACGAGTTCGAACAGGCGTGGGGGAGAAGGGGAAACGCGGCGCACAAAGCACTAAAAACAAGGCAGAAGTTGTGACAGATGACGCCGCCCAATTCTTCATAACGGCAGGATTTAGTCCATATGGACAAAACACGGGCTTTGGTTCAGGCTTGCCGGCAGGGGCACCGGCAGGGGCAGGCATGGGAGGCTATTACGCGGTCGAGTCCCCAGCGGGTCCTCCCTCTTCCTCCACGGTCGGCCAATCCCTGCACATGCATCGCCTCGCAGAAATGCTGAACGGGGATAATGCCACCGGGGACTTAGCGTTGGCGTCCCCCATGTCGAGTAATCGTGCGGGACTCTTGGGCCCTGTGGATGACAACTCTTTCTTCGCCGAGCAACTGCAGCGTCAAATGTCTAGCAACCATCAGCCGCAGCAGGAGAATCATCTCCAGCTCTATCTGCAGCAGCAGCTCGATGAACAGTGGCAGCAACATTTCCAACAGAAACTTGATCAGCAATTACAGCTACAAGAGGAGCAGGGGCAGCGTTACCAGCAGAGAAGGCAACAAGCAGAGCAAACAGAGGCGCAGTACCACCGAGACATTCCCCCCCCGTTCTCTGGCGGCGCGGACCAAGGCTTTCTCCCCTTCGTCCCCGTACCGGTGGGTTGTGGAGGTCGTGCCGACAAGGACATGCAAAACGCCCGGCAATCGCCCGACATGCCCCCCCCCTTCCAGACCACGCGCTCTCCCCGACCCCTACGGGGACAGTCGGGCGGCGACGAAGGCTTTGGCCCTGCCTCTCCGGGTGGGGGCGCCGGGAGTCACAGCGATCTGGCCAAGAAGATCAGCATGCTAATGGCCGCCGGCTCCGCCTCCTTGCTCGGCCCTGCCTCGCAGCTCTCTTCCTCGTCACAGCAGGCACACGAGGACAAAAGCAGGGCGCACCCGGCCCCGAGCCCCGTCACCACCATGATGAACATAGACTTCGCCTCTGCCCCCCCCCACCCTGGTCTTCATTCCTCCTGTGCCTCCCAATCCCATAAGAAAAAGCGGCGCTCGCTCTCCCCTTCGGGCTTTTCGACCGCCGGGCCCTCCCTGAGCTCCGGAGCTTCTCATTTAGGACTGCAGGTGGACGCGGGCGTGACGGCCACCGCATCCTCAGGCCGCTTCAACACGGACGACCTTTCCCCCTACTGCCACTACCGACCCTCTTCCTCCCTGGCCGCGAACTCGTCCTACCTGGAGAGCTTCCTCGAAGGCAGCCTCACGCCGCAATACCACCAGAGCACACGCGACCCCGTGCACAACCCCGCCCCTTTCCTGGCCCCCCTGCCCCCCCACCCCTCCCAGGACGACCCCAGCCAGGGTGAGTCTTGCCTCCAGCAGTTTTCATCCCTGTCTCGCTTTCCCCCCCACCGGCCTCCGAAAGGGGCCGAGTCAGGGGGTTTTATGGGCTGGGCCAAAGGCGAGGGCGCGGGCTCGGAGGCCCCGCGGAACCAGCACTAGGTCTAGCTCCAGACGGCCCTCGTCGAAGAGATGCCGATTGCCTCGCTCTATATATTTTGGCGGCTGTCCCGCCACTGGGGGGGACCTCTCTGTTGTCTCTATGGACGATGCTCCAGGCCCCTCCCTACTGCGTGCTCTCGTCATGTATCCCATGAATGTCTGTGTATGATCAATATCAATGCCTACGCCCAGCGACTCGGGCGACACCTGCACCTGAAGGTCTCTCGCCCTGCTCTTCATTGGCCCTCTTCGCCTTGACTCTCATATGAACAAGCCCCGACCCTCCATCTTGCCCCCGCGTGACTAATTTCCTGCCAGTGCCGTGCTCGCAAAGAGTGAAATGGAAGCAGGGCGGGGCTATCTGAGGGGCGCCCACGCAGGAAATGCGAGGGAAGAAAGGGAGAAAGGAAGCGGCAGGACTTTATCTACGTAAACTTGTTCGCGTGCTCATTGCGACCTCTCCAAAGCATTAAAAGCATCTACAAAAGAAGAATGTAGCTACATCGGAATCTTCCTTCGCTCATGGCGCCCCCTTTTCTCCCTTCTTTAAGCCCTGCCATGCTTTGTTGATGCCCTAATGTCTGCTGCTACCTCGAGCGTCCTTTCGCTCCCTTCACAGCGTTGCGGCGCTTCCTCTTGAAGTCTTGCGTCAGACTCAACCGCTCCCGTCGCAACGCCTCCCGCCGGCCCTCCTCTCCCCGCCCTCCCTCTTGCCTCCAATCCACGCTAACCCCCTCTGATTCCGTCGCCAGGACGCCATCGCTGCTTCCTCCGCCGACACTTGAAGGCACCACATCTCCCCCAATTTCACCTCCATCACTCCCTCCATCCCTCCCTTCATCCCTTCCTCCTTCACTCCCTCCATCCCTCCCTTCATCCGTTCCTCCTTCACTCCCTACCCCCAAAAAGAACGCCCGTGCCTCCGCCTGAATCTCTCGTATGGACGGCCAGAACAACCTTGTTGCCCCCACCCTTGAGCTCTCCCTCACGCGAAGACCCAGCCCTCCCTTGTGCCCCTCCTCCCCCCCTCCCTCCCTCGGCTCCAGCGTTTCCTCAGTCTCCTCCGCCGCCTCCCACGCCGGCATCTGCCTCCCTTTTCCCGCCACAGGCGCCTCCACATCGACAAGGACCGCGTCCTCCGAACCCGCCACGTCTTCCCTCGCGGCAACGCCGAAGCCAAAGGCAAAAGGCACGCTCTCCTGCGCGCCGATAGGAACCGGCTCCTCCTCCTCCCCCTCTCGAAACTGGCTGTAGATGTCCGTGAGCGCCTCCAGGTCCGCCTCCACGCGCGGTCCGTCTTGACTCGCCGGACCGGTAGGAGGGCGGGCGACAGCGATGCCCTCGGTCCGCCCCTCTCCCTCCCCCTCCTCCAATTCGCCCGCATTCTCGCTCGTCGGGTCGTAGCGCGGGAAGACGACCAGCCCCTCCGTCTCTTCCTCCTCCCTCGCCTTCCAACGCCGGGCCCGCCGGGCCTCCTTTCGTAGCACGGCCGCCTCTTCCGCCTCCAGATCCATCAACACCCCGCCCAGGACGCGACGGTTACGCTTCGCCTCCTCCCTCCACGCGGCCTCCGCTTCAAGCTCCTGATCGTCACCCTCCTCCCGCTCCTCCCGCTCTCCGCATGCCTCCATCACAGCCCCGGGTTTCGAGCAGGCGATTTCTCCCCCGCCCGGTGCCCTACCTCCGGCTCCCTCTTCCTCCTCCTCGCTTCCCATGTCGGCCGCCACCTCCAGAAAGGGCGGCCAGCAAGTCCCTTCCACCTCATTCCAGCCATTTCCCCTCCTCGTTCCTGTGCTTCTTCTTCTTCTTCTCCCTCCTCGTCCTCCTCCTCCTCCTCCTCCTCGTCCTCCTCCTCCTCCTCCTCGTCCTCCTCCTCGTCCTCCTCTCCCTCCTCCAGCACCTTACCGTGGCCCTTACCCTCCTCAGGCCCTCCCCGCGCCTCGTCACCCCCCCACTCAAAGCTCACCTCCTCCCCTTCCTCTTCCAACAGGGCCCCTAGACCCTCTTCCTCTTCTTCCTCCCAA